CCAGTGACTTTCTTTACAACCATTGGCATTTGCACATGAACTCAATCCACTGTTTCTAGATCATTAAGGAAATATAAATACATTTTCTTAATTAGCAGGGATACCTGAAGAACTCAGCCTTTAGTCATAGGAATGAAAAAAAGGCCAACCCTCTAGATGCTCAATCCTTGAAAATTTCTGCCAATGAAATCTATACATTTTGATAAGTTCTCACTTGTATGCTGAGTGTTGGTCCCACAATGGTTTTTTTTTTCCATAATTCTGGTGATCAATAAAATTTTATTCTTTTTGGAAATTCACAGCATGTAACAAACAGATGATCAAAATAAACATAGACAACTGGGTACTGAAAATACCAACAAGAAAAAGGAAAGATGCAGTGGGACTGAAGGCAGTTTTGCCTTCTTAATTCCTCTCTCTTACCTTCTACTATCAAACTCATAATTTAGTGCCTGTGTGCCCACACTGCAAATGTATTCATCTCTTCTCCCAAGTTGGCCATGGGGTCCCACGAGTCTTGACTGAGTTAGCACACTATGCAAAGATCGTTCACTAAACTTAATGCTCTTTCATGGAGGTTATTTTATTAAGATTATTTGTAGCAGAGACTGTGGGCTTCCTAGTCGAGGCTCTGCTTTTATTCCAGTATCCTTGCCTCCTATGAGTGGCTCAGGTAAACTTTCTTTGGTGTAAAATTATCAGGGAGGGCTGGGGATGTAGCTCAGTGGTAGAGCTTTTGCCTAAAATTATCATGGTGGGTCCTTTCTCCTTGCAGGTGATTGCTTTGGACCGATGAGATGTGATGGGAAGTCTACTGGAGAGTATCTGGGAAAAGTATCCTCATAGCTTTTCAAGAGACTAAAAGAAGAAATAATGCCTCCTCTGCTTTCACCAGCCTTGGTATCGGAGGACACAGTGTAATATTTTAGTGATCCTAGGAGAAGATGGCCATTACAATGAGACTGGCTGAGCAGGAACAAGGAAATACCCTGAGTCCTTCATGGGCCAAGAAAGAACCAACTCTTGTGATTTTTTGTAGTGACACAGTAGATTTCTTTATTGTTGAAGCCATTTTGAATTGGATTTTCTGTTTCTTACAGCCCAAGGCATCCCATATAATACAATGCCTCCTTGGAGAAGCAAGACAAGGCTCTGCCTCTCTCATAACACTTAGGCAACAAAGGAATAATTGCTCCAAAAAAGGAAAGAAAATAAGATTTATTTCTAAGTGTTTTGGGAAAACTATCTGTGAAAAGGTATTTTTAATAGTGACTCCTGATGAATGGGGTGTACTTTGAAATCATCCTGCAAGATGTAAACACTGTAATAAAATTAGGATGAGCCACTATGAACAGTATGTGTGGGGATACACAACATACTTGGAGTCATCATAATATGTAAACATCAGGAAACTACCATGAAATTAGTCTTTATTACTCATCTACTCTTATTTCCTTCTACAATTATAAGATGGGGAATTTTTTCTCTCGTCACTGGTACCCACCTCCACGCCCACTTGATAAAAACACAGAATCTCACAATTGATTAGAAATTCAGAAAACCAGGGTACAAATGATATAGAATAATTTTCACAAAGATACAAAGCTAGTTTGGGATGATTTTTTCACAATTAAAAATGCTTTATGCTATATGTATAATAAGAATTGTAATGCATTCCGCTGTCATATATAAATAAAAAAATGCTGTATGCATGATTTTCAAACAAAGACATTTCCTAAAAGCCCAATTTAATGCAAAGACAAATTGCAACATACTGGAAAATCAAAACAGGATTTTTTTTTTCTTTACTAATTCGATCATTACAAGAAAACCTTTTGAACTTGAAGGTTTAAGTTTCTTTTTTCTATCACTAATACCCTCCTTAATCCTAATCCATATTCTATTTAGCACTATTTCTCTTATCTAGAATACCTTACATATGGCCCATTTTGTAGGCCAGTGGTTCTCAAAAATACTGTATAATAATTGCCTGGAAAATAAATCAGAAATAGATATTTACAGGTAGAGTCTGATTTAGTAGACTCAGAATGAGGCCCATAAATGCCAATGTAAACAAGCACCCAAGGTGATTCTAACCATGCTCTGAGACACATGATTTCAGACTGTATACCAGATTCCAAGATCCAAATAGAAAAATAATCTAATTATCATAGTAGATTTAAACTGGAACGACAAAAATATGTTCAGGCCTGCCTATAATTTTTATGTTCTCTCTGAGGTCTGAAACAAGCCCAACACGTCTGTGATTTAGATGCTCCTCGGTAATCATTTGCTTTAGAGATTTGGAGTTTTTATCCTTTCCCTCCAAGACTTTTTTCCCCTCTGAATGAATTTTTCCTCGGGATTAAAATGTAAAATGTCTTAACTTTCCCTCAGAGCTAAAGGAAATCAATTTTGGAGAATGTTTCAAACAAGTACTTTTAAAAATACACAAAACAGAATGTCTTGCCTTTGAACCAGAGGCCTGAGATGCATGAGGCAAACAGTAGGTAATGAGAGAAGTAAACACTGGGTTTTCCAGAAGCATTGGCCCTGAAACCAAAACTTAGGAAGGAAGCTGACCATTAAGTAAGTGACCCAGAGGAACAATAGCTAAGGCAGATCCTGGGGTAAATCTGAACCTGAGAAAACTGGAATTATACAAAAGCTTGTATCCCAAGTTATCTTTCCCTTCCTGCTGGATTTTAAAATAAGGACAGTACTGTAAATGAGAATTTAGTTTAAGTGGAATCTTAGAACTCCTGTGGGTGCCAAAGAATTTTCTGAGAACTAGATAAAACTCCTGAATTTACAGTGCTCACTTATGCCTATGGCCCTCCCCAAGGGCATTTTAAATCGGAGGCTCTACAGACCAAGAAACAGCATGGGGAGAAGTGGAGTCAAGTGAATTCTAACACCAGCTTGGACCAACTCACATTATGGCATGAGAGCTGTACTATACATAGATGTCTTCATGACTCAGTGAATAGAGAAATGTGATACAACCAAAGAAAATTCTCAAGTGTCAACAGTAAGGCACAAGGCTCTTATGGAGTAAGAAACTCCAGCAACCAAATTTATTTAAATTGGTTAGAAGGCAAAATGTCAGTTACATAGCTACAACTTGCATATTCCACTTGGCTTATGCTTTAGGTTGTGAACAAGAATAGACTGAATTTAAGGTGATTAGGGGAAGAAGGGATGGATAAAAAGGGAGAAATGAGCCACCCACCAGGAGATGAATTGGCTCAACTCTTCAAGATCTACCTTATGAGTTCTGTTTTGTTAATCTTTTTTTTTCCTCCTTCTTTAAAGAGCCCTAACAATCCTCAGAACAATTTACAAATGGGAAAAATTCAATACTGGCCCTGCAGGATCACCATTCACTCTTGGTTTCTTTCAGTCCAATTAGACTCTTATTCTAATTGCACAGCTTGGAAAGACCCACTGTGATCAGCTGGCTGCTAACCAGTCTCCTCCAGCTCCTCCCAGCAGGCCTCAGGGCCTCCTTAAGCCTCAGTGGCCGTAAAGTGGTCATGAGCATCCCTGCATATAGTTAGCTGAAGTGTGTACCTGGAATCTCCTCTGCATGGCTTTCAGGTGTGCAAGGTTTTGTAACTAACATTGAAACCAGCTTTACATTTTAACAAATACCTGACTGAGTTGTGTGGAATAGGCATCATATAGTCATTTCAGAGCATCTGGAGCTGCTTTCTAAAGCCTAAGATTCCCATTATTTTAAACATATTTCATCAGGATTCTTTGACATTTGGGGAAGATTCTCTCTGGAAATTCACATGTTCTTTGTTATGCTTCCTGTTTTTGAGCATGCAATTCTGATATGGCATGGCAAGAAAAAAAATTGATCTAGAACAATTCTTGACTCTACCCAGTTGCTTCTCACCAACTCACAGAACAATCACATTTTTCATAATACCTATGCAAATCTTTATGCTACATACACACTTTCTCTCCAAAGGGTAATCTAAAGTGTTTGATAGATACATGAAAACTAATCATCACAATCTCCTTCAGATGACTTACCCTTATCCCAAAGGATTGACTTAATGGTATGAACAAAGTGCTGTTAAGGGCCAAATTTATAACACATCAGTTCAGTAGAATTTAGGGGTTAATGATTCAGGTTAACTATCACACACTCATTCTTTTCTTTTGCTCCAGTTTGCAATCAAGAACATTCCATCAAAGTAGATGAAAGTTTAGAACATTACACACACATAGTGACTGACACAGCAAGGGAAGTCAGCAAGGCTATTCTGAAAAGGGCTAAGCAACAGTAAACACACAAAATTCAAAACCATTTCAACAGTGTAAATATTCAGAGCAGGAAAATCAGGCCCTTGCTGAATGCTTTGATTATCTCAGAAGGCAAGTGAGCATTTGCCAGAAATAATTCCTTTATTCTCTATCCTTCTTCAAAGGCTTTAATACATATAACTTTAAAAATCAACGATCTTATAGATAAGCAGAGTCTTTTAGCTACACTCAACAAAGGAAGACACTAAGGGATAGGAGTTCAGGTTTGCCCAGGGGTGGTTAAGTGGCTTGATAATAACAGTCAGTTCTAGAATCCAGGCCTCTTGACTACAAATCTAAGTTCTATAAATCTACAACATATTTCTGTTTGTCCTTGATCATCAAAAGAACATATAAGCCCTAAAAACTCTGTTTGGTGACCTGGTATCATAGATGACACAATCTGGTTTGCCCTTGATCATCATGAGAGCAAACTCCCCCTGCAACTCTGCTTGGTGGCTTGTTAGCATGGGGCACTTCCCCAGGCTCCTTTGCAAAGGCCATCTGGCATTTGCTGCTGTTATCCACTGCAGTTAACATTTCACACATTTCTTTCCTAAGCCTCCAGCATACCTGATGCAATAGTGGGAGAGGGAAATATAAGCACAACTGAGACCAGCTTTACTGCAAAGATAAGAACTTTCTGGGGTGAGAAAAGGGCCAGCAATCGGTCATAAACCTACTTTGCCAAGTGGTTCATGAGCATCTGTAACATCTGCCGATTTTTCTCTGGGAGCCGATGAACAAGGCTGTGGATTTCAGAGACCCGAGTCTCCTGGTTCTCCAGTTCTGGGAATGAAAGAGGGAGGTAATATTTTCTCAGTGTCACCACTAACTCACTTTACAAGACAAAACGAAGGAAAACCAAAGTTTGGGCATGAACAGGCTGAGGATTTCTCAACAATTTATGATCCTATCTTGCGTGCGTACTATATGATCAGCACAACCAGATCTAGAAGTCCTAGATGGTGCTTTCTGTAACAGGGTTCATCAAAATAATGACTGTCAAAGGATCCAAGCCAAAATGATGACGTGATGAAACAGAGCCAGTCAACTGCACACCCAGAGCAGGAATGAACTCAGGAGCAGCTGGCTCCCTAGAGGGCCAACTAAATTTCAAGGAAGGAAGGAACTTTATGCACTCGTAAAGTGATAAACAAATCTTACGTGAACAACATTGCAAAGTTCTCAAATATCAAAATAATGCGTTGAGACAGCATCACGGAAATCAAAGGAAAGGCCCATTTTCTCACGTTATGTACCACCAGCAGCCTGGCAGAAGGAAAGCAATGGCAGAGAAAATATTTAAATCCTTCTGTCACCGTATAACCTATATCATGGCTTGTCACATTCTCTTGGTTGAACTTGGTAAGTGGCTTCGTTTCTCGGGGAAATAGATTGCTAGTACTCATCACATCTATTTATAGGACTGATGTGAGGTTTAATTAGAGAAAGGTTGCTATGGTTTGGAATTTCTCTGAGAAAGAAATCACATAAACACCATTTTCACTCCCAGCTTTCTCCTATCTCTTTCTCCTCCCTGCTTGAAGGGTACAACTATGAGTAGATAGGGCCACCAGAACATGAGGTTCTACTAAATTAGGCCCATAGTAGCTACCAGGGTAAACAAACCCCAGAGGCTGAAGGAAGCAGGGGAGGTACAGGCTATGGACACAATAATACTGTGAGGATTCATGCCAGATCTAAATCTGACAGAGAATCTGACTGCCCCTTACAGGAGGCCTATCCCACGTAGACAGATTCCAGAATACTCAGGGTAGCTTGCACCTAATCCCTATGTACTTTAATACCAATAATATGACGCTAGGGACCTGGATGATATAATTGAAGAATGATCAGAAGCTGTACATAGAAGACATGATGGAAAGAGGGCTGTGAAGTTATATAAATGGTGCTGTATTCAGGGAAACACTTCCAGTGCTTAATTTAGGTAATGTGCAATGTCTGATTCATTCTGTAAAATGCTACTCAAAGGATGGAAAAAACCCAAGAAGTTAGAACGCCAATAATCAAAACTAGAATGGCAAACTTGTTTTTCTCCTCTCTCTCTCTCCCCTTCCCACCACCTCCTTCCTCCACAAGAAACCACCTCTGAAGCCTCGCTCCTCCACTGTAATTCAACAGTGCAGGCAGGTCCTTGGCAGTCTCAAGTTGGCTTCATTCTTATTCTTCAAGTCTCATGAGCATGGATATGGCCACTTTACATGCAGAATACGATGGGTTAGATAATATTTATTTTGGGATACTGACTATTCTTTAAAATAGAAATATCTATTCTCTTCCTCTTAAAACTGTGACAAAAAGATGACTTACTTGCTGCTTTGATGAAACTTCTTTGAAACTGGTACATCATGAGTGGTCCTGGAAGCATTCTGGAATTAAAAATAAGAATAAAAAGAACAGACTATCAGCTTAATAATAAAAACCATATTCTCTCTCAATAACAACCCCAAAACTGCCAAACAATATTACATTTCTTAAAGACAACCATCACAGGGAAACAACAGCAACTCAATTTAGTTTTCTGATTGGAAGCATCCTGAGATTTCACCTGAAATTCTCAGTCCCTTTCTTTTTTAAAGGAATGGCCACAACTATGCTTCAGAGTCACAACTAGAAAAGTGCTAATGCAAAAGTCTAGCACAAACCAAGAGATTTCCTTTTCAATCAGTGACTCACCCATCAACAAGAGCATTTGAGGCTGTATCTCAGAAAAAAGCAACTAACTACACATTTGCAATTACCTGTGCTTAAACTCTCAACTTTCCAGCAGCTTGTTGTGACACTCAGTTCATCTGGTATCACCATGAAAGGTTTTTGCAGGTGTTTTGCTTCAGAGACCAGAGGGCTAGAACCCCTAACATTAGGCATAACACGAGTATATTTTACCTAGTGGGTATGAATTTGCTTAACTACAAACTTGAGTTTTTTCTGATTATACAGATGATAAACGCAACAGATGACATATATTGTTCTTGGCCCAGATTTTATTTGTATTGGATTCTCTAATTCAACTCTTAGGCATCTCCTGGATTTCTTCTTATTCCTGACGTCAGTGCCCCAATAGCCAATAAAACCTACATCATCAATTCCTTTTCCATGGCCTTTGCTTTCCAGCCAAATGAATCTTTACAAAACCTGTACAAAGGCTTATATGAGTCACAATTACATTCTCTTCTCTATTTATGACTATATCCCACCTTCCTACAGTACAGAACTACAATATTCCTGTTCTTCAAGGGCAGCTTAAATTTTAGTTTGTTCATGAAACTGAAATGCAGGGAGTTAGTCAATAACCCAAGAAAGGTTAGCAAGTAGCAATATAATCATATATATTGATACAAGGAGAATAGTCCTTCCAGTAAGGCAATATGTCTAATCTAAGCAGATGCAGTCAAAAGGAGTTCCACTATGTTCTCATTTTTAAGGACCAATGTAAGCAATGTACATTGTACATTTGGTGGTGCACCAAAGTATCAATATTCACAGGGTACAGAATCACACATTCTCAACAGAATGTGATATATGATTTCTTTTCTTTTTTTAAAAAAATTGTAGTTGTAGATGGACACAATATCTTTATTTTATTCATTTTTATGTGGTGCTTAAGATTGAACCCAGTGCCTCATACCTACCTGTGAGGCAAGCACTCTACCACTGAGCCACAACCCCAGCCCATGATTTCTTTTTTGCTTAACAGATTATTCAGGGAAGACTGCATTGTAGGTTCTGTTCAAGGCTAATTATCTCAGTACTTCTCAGTCAGAGCAAAGCTTCCTAAATCACTCATGGAACCATTGCACAATGACAACCCATCAACTATGGACGATTTACAATGGGTTTGACCAGCCGAACTAAATGCACCCACACAGAAGCTGTTTCCACATCTCAAACACCCACCCAACAGCTCTCTGGAGACTGAAAATAAAACTGCTTTCTTCCTCACTGCACGATAACTAGCTGGCACTCTGCCCTGCAAATGGAAAGTCCCTACCTTAGGTAGGTCTTCAGAGCACTAGTGATTGTCTTGATCTCCCACTCGGCACAGATATCTGTTTCTGTCTCGGAAGCTGTTTTGGGGTCTACAAAATGAAGAAAAGACAAGGTGTAAAGCAGACCTCAAAATACAGATAACAAACCAGCACACATATAAGCATTCAACCTTGTTAGTAAGTGCAGAAATACATTAAAAAACAACACATACTTTTCGCCTATTTATATCAAGGAAATGTTTAAAAATCCAAGTATCTCTTGCTGGAAGAATGCAGTGAAACTGATCCTCTCATAAACTGCCAGAAGCCATAGAGATAAATGCAGCAGTTCTGAAAAAGGAATCTGGTAATATGTCTCATCAAGAGTCTTAGAAATGTTTATACCCCTGAACCAGTAATCCCATTTCTCACAATATCTCCTCAGGAAATAAGATAAGGCATGAGAAAAGTCACATACCCCAGAAATGTTCCACATGCACTCTCTTCTTTGTAACAGTGGAAAAAGCAAGAGGAGGAAACAACCTAAATGTCTGATCATAGAGGGATGGTGTATGTCTCCCTAAAGGAGAGATGGTGTCATTTACATGATACTGAAGACCACGCAGCAACAGGGAAAATGCCTGAATTATGTAATGTCGAGTAAAAATAATTAAGATGTAAAAGTCTGTGAGAAAATCATAAGGATAAAGGCTGAAAGGAAATACTCAAATACTAAAATAGTGGTTGGGTTAAAGTGGTAGAGTTGTGGTTTTTATATTTTCTAAACTGTGCATGATTTGATTCCATTGCTCTTCTATGTATTTTAAATTTCCATGAGCCCAGATGTGCAATGAGCACCTCCATAATTATATTGACTCCTGATAATTTGTTAGTCTCTTCTTATGTGGGTTTTAAACAAATGGATGCCTTTAAGTAAGTGGACTATAAAGGAAGGAGAGAGAGAATTCTTGTAGCCTTCCTAGGCAGCAGACAGGCAGGTGAGATTAAGAGGCTGAGGTTGGGAGTGTGAACTGCTTCACAAGTCAGCTGAGGCCCATCCTGTTGCTGGTGAGGGGGATCAGGCCACACACAGACTGCAGGAGGGCAGAGGAGTCTTCCAGTGCATTGAAGGGGGACTCTGGCTTCCTCAGATTGACTTAAGGCCAGGATCTGTCCCCCAGCTCCCACATTCCCCTTCTTTCTGCAATGCCTCATTCTCAGTTGGGGAGCCACCCTTTCTTACTCCTTCCAGGGGTGGGGGAATAAGACCTTAGGACAGACTGATCAAAAGCATGTCACCTCCCTAGTGACTGGCTCAGGGATCACCAAGACCTAAGCCAGTTCGGTCACTGTGAACTTCAAGGACTTTTCTAGAAGATAGGCTGCTGTTTGCTGGGTTTGCACCTGAAAGCTTATATAACTGCCAGGTGCCACCATGTACAGCTTGAGAGTGACTCCAGGACACAAAGCCAGAGACAGAGAAACAAAGACGGTAGAGCTTGATGAAGCAGGTAAGCGGTGCCTTTTTAATCTGGGAGCCAATAATTTTCATTTTCCCTCCTAAGCTTGTCTCCTAGAAAAATCCTGAAGTTCACTGTGACTGGACTGGCCAATCTTGGACCATCCTTGAACCAGTCACCAGCCCACCAGAGGTGACATGCCTTTGACTCCTCTGGCCCAAATATCATTCCCCACACCTGAAAGGAGTAAAGAAAGGAGTAATCCAGTTTAGGTCTGGCTCCAGTTTGTTATAATCAAAAAGATATTTGAATGATACACCAGGTAGAGAGGGACAGCCACGGGACTGCCTCTTTCTCAACAGTCCCCAAGATGAACTCTGAGACGCCAACTAAGAAAGAGGTTCCTTCGGCAGGGCCAACTGCCTTTCAGTAGGGAAAGGAGAGTGAGTTATGGGTGGGCAGAACACACTTTCTATTTCCTGGGAAAGAACCCACTTTCATCCCAGAAGGAAGAAGCCAAATGCTCATGAATGGCCTCTGACTCCCAGGCAAGGCACAAGCCCGAGTGGAACCTACCGCTTGGTTTTGTTCCCTGAACGCTTCCTTGAAGATGAGACAGAAAAGGGCCCCAGCTCATAAAAATGTGTGTGGCTCCTATAGGCAGACCACCTGTCTGATGTTCACAGGTGACCCTGGGCAATAATGAAGTCTCTCTTTTCACATGAAACCAATAAGAACTTAAAAAGCATGATTTTACTTCTAGAGCCACAGAGTGGTTAAGTTTCTTAAAAGGTCCCAATATCTGATTTTCTTAATATCCAAACGCTGTACAGCTTTAATTCTTTGTCATCTCTCACTCCCCGAATAGTTTCTCCCTGCAGAAGAAAGTTTGTTTAGAATGACCTTTTTCCCTTTCCATTCCCAAGACCCATGGAGAGCTGCCACCCAGCATGGTTTCTGGATGCAAGACAAACGTTACTGTACATTTTTCTGAGGAACAATCCAACTTCGACCCAAGATGAGTGAACGTGAAACTAAACCAGCCATGGTTTGGCAGCTCTGGGAGTTTTGAACTACTCCATGAACCACATTTAGAAAACTAATGATTAGCTTCCACTTACTGGGGCTCTGTAACCATAGGAATATTGTGTAACATTACAGGGAGGAGAGTCAAATTACAGTCCGGCTAAAGGGCTTTTTATAGCACCAGTGAGGCAAGGCTTATAACTTGAGCACATCCATATTAATTCATTTAATATCCCAACTAAATTGCACACAGCCTCCCCAAGCTACCCCATTTCCAGAAAGTGCTGCCAATTTCCATACCTTGCTTCTGAGGCTCTCATGACAGAACTCAGAATTTTCTGTAGAACTCAGAATTTTCTATTTCTCCCCACCATGTCACTTGACCATGGTAGAGCTTAGTAAAATAAACCTAAACTAGAGGAGAAGTCCAATATACAAAAAAGGATCCTGTGGGTCAAGTGGAATGTCTCACTCCTCTTTCTCCTATGACCATGTAAACTCTGAAAACTAGGAGAAGGACTGAAAGCAGTGCTAATAAAGGGAGGTGGTCTTAGAAAGGTTACCCCAGACCAGTCCCAAGAACCATGCAGTCCTCTACTGTGCTGCTGACAAAGACACTGAACTTTGAACTCCTAAAATTTCATAATAACACATTATGATGTAAGGAAACTAAATGTCTTTTTTCTTTCAGGTTAACATATATATTTGGTAAAAAAGAGTTTCAATGAAAACAAATATATATTAAAAAGTAAGCCTTTTCTCTAGTACAGGCAACTGAAACTATCAGTTTTTCACGTACATATCCTAACAATCAATGCAAATGCCAGGTGCATATTGGAATACATCCACCTTTTTTAAAAAATTATTTTTTTAGTTGCAGATAGACACATATCTTTATTTTATTTATTTATTTTTATGTGGTGCTAAGGATTGAACCCAGGGCCTCACGAGTGCAAGGCAAGCACTCTACCACTGAGCTACAATCCCAACCCATACATCTACCTTTTTAAAAACACAAATGGCCTAGCAAGTAAAAGATCTTGGGTTCCATTCCCAGTATGGCAAAAAAATAAATCAAAACTCAAATGGCAGCACACTGTGCATGGAATTCTGGGTGTTGCTATTTTCATTTGACAATCTCTTAGGAAACTATTCCATATTGGCACATAAATATATCCACTCTGCAGAACTTTACTGTGTAGATGTGACATCATTAATTTAATGTCTCCTTTTAATGGAAATTAAAATTGCTCTGTTGTTTTTACTATGATTAACAATAATATAAACTTCCATTTCCTTGTACCTCTTATTTATAGAAATAATTCTTAAAGTATAATTTCTGAGTTAAAAAAATGTGCATTTTTTTTATTTTTTATTTTGAAAGATAACTGCTCCAGCTCCCCTTCGAAGTTTAAGTCTGAATGACTCCTTCCCTCAACTGGCTGAGATGAAAGTCTGTCACTGCACATTGCTATCAAGGGTGAGGGAAGGAGTCATTCAAACTTAAACAGGACACTAATTTAAAAAAAAAAAGTAAACTGTAAATGGATTGAAGAGGGATTGTTGGGTGGAAGGAGTTTGGGGTAGTGCTGGGGTCTAAATGAAGTGGGTTGAGCTCCATGCTTTGGTGATTATGCCAACGTGTATCATGGTGTTGAATCATAACTAAAAAGAATTTTTAAAAAATAAGTTATCTCATTGTTTAAATTCTCTCTCTCTCTTTTTTTCAGTGAGGAGAAAGTTTGCAAATCTTCTATGTATGGGTGTGTTTTTAAAGTGTGGATTATTGAGGTAAACTCACCCTTTTGTAAGTGTGCAGTTCCATGCTTTTTGATAAATGTGCATTGTCATGTAACTGCTATCATAATCAAGATATTTCCATCACCCCCCAAAAACTCCCAGTGATCCATTATGCTTAATTCTCTCCCTTCCCCACCAACCTCTAGCAGCCACTTTCACATACATAGCATAAGACTTTTGAAATCCATCCAATGTTGTTACATGTACCAGTAGTTTAATCCTTTTATTACTGAGTATATTCAATGTTATGGATATGCCATAATTTGTTTATCCATTTGCTGATTGATGGACATTTGGGTTGTTTCCAATTATAGATGTTATGAGTAAAGTCACTGTAAATATTTGCACACAGGTTTTTGTATACTACATTTTCATCTTTTGGGTAAATACCATATCTAGGAGTGGGACTAGGTAAAGTACTTAGGAATAGGTCAGATGGTATGTTTAACTTTAGAAGAAATTGACAAATGGTCTTCCTAAAATGTTTGGATCATTTTGCATTTTTACCAGTAATAGAGAGCTTTGGTTGTTTCACGTCCTTGTCAACACATGATATGGTCATTTTTTAATTTTAGCTATTCTAATAGGCATGCAGGGATATATGGCTTTTTTTTTTCAAATTTGTATTTCCTTAATGACTAATGACATTGGTCATCTTTTCATCCTTCCCCTTTGTGAATTTTTTTTAACATTTTATTGGTTGTAAATTTTTTTACTGAACGATTTATTCTCAAATCTTGTCTGGCATATGCCTGTAATCCCAGTGGCTCAGGAGGCTGAGGCAGGAGGATCCAGAGTTCCTCAGCAATTTAGCCAGGCCCTAAC